TCTGTTCTAAAGAACAAATGTAAAGTGACTAATGTAACGTAGCAGACAAAGATGATGCTATACTTGTTAGATACCGACTCAGTGCACAGAATGTGCTATTTTACCTGCACGTCTATGGAGTGAGCTTGCAGAAGATTTGAAAGAAAGTTGGCCGCCTTTCTTTACAAAGCTTCCCTTAAGAAAGTAAGACTTTGTACGTATTTCAAAATAATAGTATAATAGCCAAATTTCCATGTTTCTGGTTTTTCCCTATTTTAAATCATTTACCTGAGCACCTTTTGACACCGTTAAATTCCGAAAATTCACCACTTGCACACTTCCCAAAATACACAACAAGTTGTCCTATGGCAGACGTGCAAATGGTGACGACCCAAAATAAACGATGCAGCCAGGCTCAATTGAGGTCTGTCAATTAACAACTACCGGTCAACCGTTTAACTGCTGAATGCGCGTTTTCAAAGCTGTTCGATGAAAATTCAATCATGAACTTTAAAGTAATTACCTCCTCCTTCCGCACAATCATAGGTTTGTCTGGATTGTTCTTTCCATAAAACCGTACTTCATCAATCGGATTTCTATCCCGCATTCCATAATCAAAAGTGACAAGCTAACGAAAATAATAAAAGAGTAAACACATTTTCCTTGCTGAATTATTACACAAAGTAATTTTGAAACTCAAATTTTTGTCTCCTCCATAATAATACTAACAAGGGGATTTAGAAAAACCATAGTATCTATAGAACTCAAGCAATGTTTTATATTATTTTTCTTACTTCAATAATGAAATCATCTGGCTCAATATGGGGTCCACCATCGATACATTCAGCCATGTCTTGTTTTATATCAGGAATCTCCTCCTACAAAAATCAATTACATGCATTATTGCATTTATTGATGTCTATCAAGGACCAGCTTGGAGTCGGTTTGGTCTTACAATACCTTTTCACGTCGCTTTTTGAGAATGGCTTGACCAATACATTTGTACAAGTCCCGTCTCTGAATTCGCACCAAAATGGACCGAGCCTTCAAAATATATTTGTAAAAAGGTTAGTATGACCGTTAGTGCAGACGTTGGCATGATGACTAAAGAAAACGTCTGTTCGTTCATCTTGGTGTATAATTGGAAAGTAGCTGCCTAAAAGGACGTAACGAGTGCAAAAACAGCACAAAGCAACATGCAGGATTCACTAGCAAATAAACACTTCTGCTGCTGTTCTCTGAGCTGAATCGTTTTTTTTTAGACCTTTTCTTTTTGTTATCATCAAATCCTATAATTTAACACGATAGCAATTCAAAGCATGAGCTTGTGGGGTCGTGTATTAAATGTACGCAATTCTCCTCAGAAAAAAAACTTTTAACAGTTTAGCCGCTCGTACCCATTTACAGTCGAACCTCCACAAACGGCCATTTCTCCACAACGGTAACCTCTCTACAATGGACTTTAATCAAGGTAATTGCCAATAGTGTTTATGCTAATCCGGCAATGGAGCAGCCAGCGGTCGCTCAAATACATGGTATGAAATTACAATGAAACATTTACATGGTATTGAATTACATGGTATGAAAATAAACGATGTGATTAAAGTAGTGGACACTCTTTGGATAAAATCTGGGTAAGGTGCCGAGCTAACAACATCAGCTGATAACGCGTTCCACGCAGGGATTGATCCCACATAGAAAGAGTGTTTGTAGGCGTCGACAGAAGAGGATGGTAACCTGATCTTAGTGACTCGCCCTTGTACGGCCATACGCAGGCATGGTTGTGATATTGCGAAGTCGCTTGTATTTGGTAAGGTGAACGGCTTTGCCGCTACGACAAGCCTTCTTGTACGCTCGTTTACGTTTGTTCATTAGACGTTTCACAGAGGAGCTGACCCAGGGGAGGTGACGCTTTCCCTTAGACATTTTATGTGGTACGAGGTTGTCGGTGGCTTCTAAGATCTTTTGAGGAATGTAGGACCAGTTTTCGTCCACAGTGTTACACTCTGGGTGGGTAGATAGATAATCGGAAGAAAGAGTAGTTAAGCTTGCCTTTAAACCGACAAAGTCGCCCTTGTGAAACTGATAGATTTTCCGGGGGCGGTTTCAGCGTGAACTTCGGGGAAATATCAATCTGGTATAGTGTGGCGTCATGATAAGAGATGCTGCAAGTGACTGATAGCAGGATTGGAGGAAAAGAAGGGGTCTTATGTACGGCCGGAAGCGGGGCGCGTCGGCGAAGACACATGCTTTGTTAAACCGTATTTGTCTGAAAGATCTAAGAGAGCTTGGTCGCAGGCTTGAGCAATATGAGGCGTAAGGTTTCGAGTTGACCAATCTTTGCCCCCACAGTTGAAGTCACCAGTAAAGATGACCAAGGGGGGGTTAGGGCTATAAGTCCTGCTCAAGACATCGTCCAATAAGTCCAACGCGTTAGTATCAAAAGCTGGTGGGCGATAATAACTGGAGAGGAGAAGAGTCTTGGATTTGCGAATTTTATAGAGACAGTTATGATTTCACAACTGTGCACATCGAGGCGGACTTGTTCGGTAGCGATGATGTCATTGCGAACGCCAATAAAAACTCCACCGCCGTGCAAGGTTCTGTCCTTCCTAAATATATCGTACGTACTTGGAAATACCGAGTAAGTGGGTATTGTGGAATCCAGTTTAGATTCGCACCCCAGGACGATGTCAGGCTTGTGCAAATCGATGAGTGCCTGGAATTCAGCTTTCTTAGTTGGGCTCTTTATGCCATTACAATTCTAGCCTGCGAGCAAGCTCTCCTATTTGGGCTAGTGAAACGAGTCTCGCGAGAACGCGCGAGCGAGCGGCGAAGCCGCGAGGTCAGCCCCACGCTCGCGCGTTCTCGCGAGGCTCGCTTCGCTTGCCCAAATAGGAGAGCTTGCTCGCAGGCTATTACAATTCAGTGAAATGACCTTCAGCTTCCTCCTCTTCTCTTTGGGAGAACGAGCAATCGGGCTGGAGCTGTGCAGCGGTGGTCCCATGGCAGAGGAGAAACTTTGGTGCGGCGCTGATCCCGTTGTAGAGTTGTTAAATTCTAGGCTCTGGTAGCTGTTATTACTCGCAAGGCTGTCCAAATTGTCGAGAAGAAAAGTTGTGGAAAAGTTTTCTTTCGTCCCCAAGGTGGCCGTTGTAGAGAGGTTCAACTGCATACATTTCGATGGCGAAACAATGTTGTTAAAGAGAAACTCAAACCAAGACTATGGAAGTCCCAGTTCTACTCTCAAAGTATGGTCACTAAAACTACCAAGGACAAAAGGCGGGAAAAAAAACAAAACAAAAATCCGTTATATAAAATGCGGGGAGAGAAAAGAGCTTTTTTTAAGATGTTTATTATTATACAATGTGTGGAAATAGGCACCTGACAAAGAATTTCCAGGCCAACTTACTTTTTTCATTGACGCAAGCACACAAAATCAAGTGCTTCGAAGTTAAAAAAACACAAGACCGGAGAGAACTATACGTTACAGCAGTTATATCAGTGAGTGCTACAAGCCGCATATATGTTGACTTACCTCTTGCAGTTCAGGGTCACTAGAACAGAGTATTTGATAATATACTTGATCTGTCAGCATTGTGTATGCTTCCATGTCATCAATTGATTCAGAGATTGAAAGCATTTTCCTGTCGAAACGCATAACACAGGATAAAGCAACGCTAATTTTATAGCTACATGCAAGGCGATCAATCGGCTTTAACAAACAATTATGATCGACTGACAATTCATTCAACTTTAATCTTGGTTATACGAAGTACTCCTTAAATACTCACCCATTTGATCCTTTAAAGCGGATTTTCTTATCAGCCTTCAGCAGAGCTTCAGTGATCCTACAACCAGAAAGGACAATGCTCTTATCGAGTTTCTCTTCATAGACTGCTTGCAGTCCGCCTTTTCTCTTAAAATCCATCTAGTTCAAAGCTAGCGCGATTGCAAACCACGACGTTATGTTACAATAAGGGATTAGGACCAGAGGAGAAAAAACGATTTTTTATTTTTTCTTCTCGGGCTTACGCCCTCGTTTATGGCGGCTTGCGTGCTTGGGTTTCTCTTGCAGTAACTTTGCAAAGAAAAATAAGAGACTGCTCGCAGTTTACTATTCAGTAATCTATAAAAAAGTACCTTCTGCCATCACAAGTAAACAACTTTGGCAACTTTTGCATTTTTGCAAACGTTATTAAGACTGACTGCAGGAGACTGTACAAACACGAGGAAGAGTGTTTTTTTCTCGATATGTTTGTTCAAATTCAGAATAGAAACTTTCTTCATATACTGCCTGAACATTTCTATTGAACATGTTCAATCTTATAATTATGATTAATAATTACTGTTTATTAATTATTATAATAATTATTATTTAAAATCAATCAAATCACTCTCACTTACATTCTTTCAATGATATTTGAAGTTTTGTGTTGATAGGCCCGTCTAAACAAACTGTTCCTTGTGTGAAACATGTCATAAATATTGCCAGCTTCTTTGTCACGGACACAAATTTGCAAATTGCCTTTGACATCAATGATTCTAGCAAATTTGAGATAGCGTCTACAGATTTAAAAAGGTATCAAATGTTTAAGTCTCTGTTAACATCAAAATGTGTTTCATTGTCATTTATTGGTAAACTTCAGTTAAGTAGACCCAAAAATAGTCCAGTAAAAAAACTTAATTGTTTGAGAAACATTGTTCCGGTATAGCAACTGGAAAAAAACACCAAAAAGTAACCCCTACTTTTTTTTTCCAAATTTTCAAAAAAGTTAAGTTTCTGTGGCAATTTTAAATAATTACTTATATCAGGTTTTTATATGTGTGTATGTGTGCACAATCCAATCAACAGATTCAAAAAGCTTTGACAGTACTATGAGGAACTGACATCAATACAGCATGCATGTCTAAGAAGTTAATCAGTTTTAAATAAATCAGATTCTAATAACAGCAAAAGACAAAGATATCTAGTTTAGCCAAAAGAGACATTCAATGTTCCTTACTTGTGATCAAAGCTGTTACTAATGCCAAGGTTATGGCAGTCACGGGAAAAATAATCAAATTTGTCCACATCAATTCCTGTTCTTTTGTTTGCCACAATCTGAAAGGCAATAAATTCCAATTTCATCGACAACCATCTAACCATTCAAGTTTAGCACCTCTTCATTCAATAACAGTTGGAAACTGATGAATACATGTATGACCAAAGTTGGACCAACAAAATCTGGTCATATTAACGGGGTGGTTGTATTAAATCTTTGGTGACTGGAAGCTAGTACTAAAAAATATGTAATTTATGTAAACTCTCCTTTTGGGCCAGTGTTTGGCCAATTAGCATGCTACATGCACTGGAGGCATATTTTCCTTCTAATAGGATAAAATTTTAAAGCTGCTTCTTTTTGCACATAACTAGCCTATGGGTACAGCCATACCCAAGCAAGAGCATTTAAGCTGAGATAAACTATACAAGTATTTCTTTATAGCTTTCTTGATAATGAAGTCAGAGTGACAGTTCCATTTCAGATTACTTGAGACATTGAGGCCTAGTATTTTGGCAATGGTAACCAATAGGCACTGCCACTGGTAACCAATAGGCATGCTGTTAACCACAACGGAGTCGAATGACATGGTATTTGTCTTAGTGCAAATGTTTATGCACAGTTCCTTGCACTTTGACTCCTTCAGTTGAAACCTGTCTGCAGTAGCATGGTTGACCAGGGTGTCAACAGCGGCTTGGATTTGACTGTCTTGGTTCTTGCTTAGCGTCTCTGAGATAGTGGTATCGTTGATGTATTTCCAGAGATCAGTAGCAGGAACATTGAGCTTTTCGATCACAACGATAAACAGCCATTACCCCAATTTTGTGTCTTGAGGAACCCCTGCTGGGACCCCAGCCCATTCTGAGAGGCAGTCATGGCCAAGCTTAACTCGCTGTTTGCACAAGGAGAGGAAGTTGGTGATCCAAGAGATTACAGCGTCATGGATGTCATATGTGCTTAGCTTCCTGACCAATATCCCGTGTTCAATGAGGTCGAAAGCTTTCTTAAAGACAAAGAGAACCACTCTCACAAAGGCTCCATTACCATCAGTCACACAGGTCCATCAAATGCACAAACAGATGAAAGGGTCAATGTCTTACTCACCCATTCAAATGCGTTCATAAAATGGCTGAATGGGTTATTAAGTATTCTGAATGGCTAACACAAACCAGAGAATGGTCGGCTTACAAATATTTTGCAATGGGTCGATATGAACGGTTGAATGGGCTTCCGATTCATAATTATTTCAAACAGATTATGAAAAACAGTAGTGCCAAGTTTTCGTTCCATTAAATGGCCTTTTTGGCAAAAATCCATGGATGAATGGATTAATGAGTCAAGAGTAATATTATCATCACCGAAAGCCTAGTTCACAACAGTCTTTCCATCCTTATTTTTCATCATGATTACATTTGTACTTCAAAATATACAGCCAAACTGCTCATAAGTGAACAAACTTGGGACCAGTAAGTGGTGTTCATTTAACAGAAGTGCCTTCCTGAGGCCAATGGAGGTTAACAAATAATGCAGTGTTTGAATGTGGGCGCCGGTGCAAGGAGTCTGCTTAACAAAAAGAGCTGTTACCAACCTTACATGTACATATTGCATAGTCACCTTTCAACCCACCTCATACAAATATCTTTTCTCTGGCTCCCGTCCTTTAAATGGCCACCCCTACAAAAACAAAAATATACAACTATTTACATGGGAAATAATAATACAGCCTAACCTCTCTTGCTTTTACAATGATAGGTGTAAACAGTGCAAAAAAAAGACAATGTGGAAATTCAGCAAATTTGGCTGAAAAGTTATAATCATATTATATTTCATCTTATTAAATGGAGTGATAAGGAAGTCCTTACTTCAGATTATAACATATTTAGAGGCAACCAAACAGTAAATGTTCATTACAACTACATAGGTGATGAAACTGTATGTAGGAGTGAACCTCTTGTCCTATAAAAACTTGTGCAGTTTTTACCAAAATGCATATTTTGATACTTGCAGGTTTTTTTTATCATATAAGGCTTTAAACTTTAAGATACCTGGGAGTTACTTGTGTCCACCAGGGCTGTTCCAGCTATAAGCTCCTTTATAAATATGAGATCCTTTTCTGACAGATTGTACTCTCTAAAACTTGGTAACAAGTTATTTACTTTCATCATGTGATCAAACATGTTGACAGAGGCATCCTCATGCTGTGTGAAGAGCAAAAACCACATTGTATTGAACATAAAGTTGTCCAAAATGATTTGGTATTTCAGTTATCTCTTCATCAACAAATAAACAAACGAATTAATAAAAAAGTAAATTTATATTATTATTCTTCAACTAACAATAACTATTTTTTCCAATACTCTTCAATGAAAATTAATACCCATTAGGCCAGCATTCCTGGCTTGAGTCTTACACTTTGACAATTGTATTATGATTGTCCAAAACTAAGCTTCACGCAAGTGAAAGGTCAGCTGTCAAACCATCAAAACAACTCTCAATTTATGCAAGGAAAAAAGATTTCTGGGTACTTAATGACAGCCAGCCTGCCTAAGAATACCCTGCAAGTAGAGGCTCCATTTTTGCGGGGTGAACTGGCATGTTCCCTTCGCATGCCAGTTCACACCACAAAAATGTACACTGTAGCCTCAGCTCACATGCTGGCCTAAGAAAGCACAGTCTACCGACAGGACACTAACAGTTTTTTAGATAAATTTTGTGAATATTTTTTTCTCCTTAATTCTAGAATTTATTACAACCTTTGTGATGTTAAGGTTTTCAGTTATTAATACTGAACAGAAACTCTAGTAGAGTATGATAGTGACTGTCATATCAACAATAGTTTGCATTTTTTACTATTCTAGGTAGGTGTCTCAAATTAGTTTCTTGTAAACTAGAACAAAAGACAGGTTCATTTAAGCAATAGACCACACTTTCTATGGGTTTACCGGCGTGATAACCCACGTGGGATGTTGGGAGAACACAAGAAAAGCCTGTAAATCACGAGCCAAAGGCGAGTGATTTACGAGCTTTTCGAGTGTTCTCCCAACATCCCAAGTAGGTTATCACGCCGATAAACCCATTGAAAGTGGGGTCTATTGCTTTTATAAAATAACTTTTAGTAGAACGGGGCCTTTTAGTTAAAAAATGTGGTTTTAGTATCGTGATCAAGCCATGTCTTTTCTCTAAAGTCACCATAAGCCAATCATGACTCACAATTTAAAAGCGCCGAACTGTCTCAAAACTCAGTACAGTCACACAACAAACAGCAGCACTTCAAAACACGAGTTTTTGCACTCTTTACATGAAAACTTATGAAAGCTGTTTTTCAGGAAAAGTCAACACATATTCATGTGAAGGTACAATGAAGTTTGTTTACTACAGAAGTAGAAAATTGAACATCAAACTGTATGCAGCTGTATTTTGTTGAGTCGATCCGTAAACATTTCGTGCCTACGGACGAAACTGGCAGCTGTTGTAATGGAGGACTTCATTCACTTTTTACAAGCTGCAGTCGTTTAAGATTTTCTGGACTTTACCAGCGCAAGTGGCAGCGGCCGATTTTGTATGATAACTTGATCAGATATCTCTTTTCGGAACAATTTCTTTCACTCAGGAATTTAATTTTGACATAAAATAAATCAAGAATGCTAAAACTATCCGTTTTGTTGCTGGTTGGCACATTGTTAAGTTTTCCTAGAGACTTTCTACACCAGAAATGCACACAGTTGTTGTCTTTCTTGGCGATTTGGCATCGTCGTGAAATGTAAACTGTTTTCCAGCTTTGTACTTTATAACTTCTAAAGCTATGGCAGTAGCGAATTCTGATGCTCTGTAATAAAATGTGGAAACCAACACTTTTTAATATTAAGAAGGGCTGGGTAAGTAACTTGTTCTGTTTTCTATTCTTTCTAAAATCAATGATTGCAGATCAAAATAGCCCGTTTTGTTATAGTGGCTCATGTTCCGGATGCCTTTTTCTATGGGTTTACCGGTATAATAAACCATATAGGTTTTTGACCAATCAGATCGCGCGTACTATCTCGGTTATTTTATAAAAAGTTATAATAATAATAATAATAAATAATAATTATTATTATTTGCTAGTTCTGTAATATATAACTTTCTTTTTAGTGTAGACTGTTTACCTTCCAATCAGTGTCAGGCCTTGCAAATGGTATGAATAAAGAATCAAACATGTGGGAAAAGGGTCCATGCCCTACAACAAATAAAAAAGAAAAAGGAAAGAAAATCTAGGATGTAAATCTTCAGGGTCAGATTGAATCTAAAGTCAATTCATACCCAGACCTGGTCAATCTGTTTCAACATTGGTCAGTTCATTTTAAACAACATCAATTCCTCCCCTTTTTTTCTTTTTGAGGCAAAAAAATATGACATCTTCAATCTCCAGTTTCTTTACATGTATCTCCACTCATGTCCTTACCACATTTATACAACCCATGCCCATACTTTCCAACATCCCAATATGAGATTTGTTTTTAAAACTAGTTTGCTAATGTCACTCCAGGCATAACTGTCAACTTGAATGAAAAGCTGTTTTTTTGTCACTAATCTACCTTGTATTTTACTTGTACCTAGATCATGGCATAGGCCAGCTATTTTGATGCAGAGTACATCTTCATCTGTGATTCCCAGTTCTGGCTGCCGCTTTTGTAGACTCCTAACAAGTTTTCCAGCCAAGTGGCAAGTTCTAAAATGTCATAATAGAAGCAGCTACATGTATATTATACAGTGCAAACATGACTTATTATTTAGAAAAGGAGAGTAAACCTTCATCAGGGTTCAAAATAAAATCACAGCTTTAGCCTGAATTTCTACGTTTTCTTTATCCAGGTATATTAGTTTTTTCCCAGCTGTCAATAATGAATAAGTTTGCTTCGTACATGTTCAACAACTGCTACACTAATAATAATGATAATTAACAAATCTGCCAAGAACACATTGCTAGCACGTGATCAAAGACTTTGTGAACTGAAATTTCACTTTCTTCATTGAGAAACCCTGAAAATCTAAAGCGATTTAACAAGATTTTGTACAAAACTTGCATGTTTCACACTCGAACAAAAAAGAAAGAAAGAAGTAGCCATTCAGGGAAAAAAGAAAGAAAAATAAAACCAAAAGAACACCCTTGCTGTTTGATTCTCCACCTTCTTGTTGTATTTACCTGACAACTTAAAATTTTAGTGACATCCCTGATGTGCCTTATATTAAGTCACTTTGGTAACCTTGAGGACTACATTTTCAGGCGATCATTTCTTTTAGATTTTTTCCTCAGGCAATCAAACTGAAAGGTCACGTTCCATTAATTTTCCTGTTGAACTGAAAGGTCTGGAAACTTTTTGTTATATGAACATGGCTGTTGAATGTAAAATTATTTATATAGCAATGAATATTGAATGCATTTATTTGGATTAAAGATTATGAAAAGATGCCCATGACAAAAACCATCCATAATACACCCTTTTGCCGAAAGTCAAAGAGACATCCGAGATTACCACAGATTAATACAGAACGTTGTTACTTTAATAGAATAAGGTTTAAATACAACTTAGCAATTTAACAATATAGAATCCAATGTTTTTATCAGGTTTTATGTGATAATTGTATTATAATCTGTGCGATTTTTATGATTTGTATTTTTCACTCTCTGTAATGTTTGTTATGTATTTTAAGGGACAAAATAAAGACATTTTCTTATTTATTTTAAAAACAGTGCCTCCCACTTTGTTTAACTACTGAAAGAGAAATAGCAAAAAGCATGATTGTCACAAGAGTCATAAATTATCTTACCCAATGCAGTGCTCAAATCTGTTGTGAGATGCTCCAGGAAACACATAGTAACAAGCACCTTCGTAATAAAATGAAAGAAAATTTTTTTTTTGTATTTACAGACACATTTACTAAAGATGTATACCGGATTTTAAAAGATGAAAAGATTATTTAATAATAACAATGTAAAATATTCACAAGCCAAGGAAACAGTGGTAAAGGGACTTTTCCTGCAAAAAGTTGGAAAACTTAAAAAGTTATCAAAGGTGAATTTATTTTAGTACAAAAAAACAAACTGTAGATGAATGTTTGAGTTCCACTACAATTAATAATTATTAGAACAGAGAAGCGTAAATGCTCAAATGTTCTAATGTATAGTAATTGATGTGCCCAAAAGCTGTAGATACCATATGAAGTTAACGAAATGTCAGCCGCACAAAACATAACCTGCGAATGGCAGACGTTTCTCCTCTCTCATCGCCGCTGAGGGACGTTTCGCGAGGAGGAACATCTGCGACTCAGTGACAGAAATTCCATACTGATGACGTAAATCGATGTTTACACAATAAATCCGGTAGTCATGGGGTTTCAAATGGAAATTTGTTCAATTTTTACAGTTTCTCCAGGTAGATTTTGTGAAGTGTTGTGTTCATCTGCGAATGAGCTCCAGCAAAACTCAAATGCTTCTTCTAGAGAAGACTATATTCCACAAATATTGGCTGTTTTGTTAGAGATTCAAGTTTACATTTGACCTTTGTGGCCTTTTGTTTTTTGTCTGTTATTCGTAAACAATAGCTAAAACATTGAAACTACTCTGTCGACCAATTAGCGCTTCTGACCGAATTCCAGACAGATTTTGCGTCATCAGTATGGAATTTCTGTTTGCTGAGTCGCAGATGTTCCTCCTCGCGAAACGTCCCTCAGCGGTGATGAGCAAGAAGAAACGTCTGCCGTTCGCAGGCTACACAAAACAGTGTGTTAAAAAGAACAGTAAGTTTGTTTTAATTCTATGTATAACAGTTAGTTGTGGCTGAAGCTCACCCAGTTGTTTGATATTCCTGAGTCTCTGAAACTGTGGAGTATCTATGATCTTAACACATAATGGGTGGACTTCTATGTGCCCATGAATGCTGTCATTAAAAACCTGTGGGATAAGGAGACATTAAAAGAGATGGAAGACTTGACTTATTCCGGTTTTCTCTTCTCTCTTTTCCCTTTTTTTATTCCCCTTATCCAGTTTTTTCCTTTTACTGGGATTTAACTAAGCTCAATGGTTATCCCTATTATTTAAGTTAGTAAAATGACATCATTTGTTGGCTTCACACTAGGAGCTAAGCAAGATTCAAGTAAACACTTGATTCAAGTGAAATTAAAAATGTTACGTCGCTCTGTAGAAAACAGCTTCACACTTTACCTGTTGACGAAGTATAAATTATTACTTGAAGTGCAGGCTGTCAATCATCTTTTGCATTACATCTTTATGCGTATATCATAGACGTGATTGCCCACCACAAAGGTAAAACCTTGAGGTCTTTGTGCTGGAGAAGAGTTTTCTTGTAGTTTCTTATTGAATTTTTTCATTGCTTTTAACTCAAAGCATTTTAAACCTAAAAGAAATGTTTCTGTACTTTGTTTTTATGACAACTTAGCAGTGGCACCAAAAAAACAAAAACAAAAAGCGACGTCTTCTTCTAAATTCATTTTCTATAGAATGGCTCGAAAATGTGCTTTTCAGCAAAGGAATCACCATAGGGCTTAAGCTTGAAATCTAACTAAGACATGGATGTTTATCTGTCTGTTCATTAGAATCTTGGAACCACTGCATGGGCACATTATCAAGGCTGCACGTGCTCTAAGTGAAATTTCAGGGACAGAGACGGAGTTCACGCGGCAGATCGGACTCGAGCTCCATGAAAACTTCGGAGAAACAGTAAAACTGCCGCAGCCTAAAACCTATTAATTTAATTAAAAATAAGTCATCTTTAATTTTCTTTTCTATATTATCAGTGAATCTTTTAGGATAATTGAGCTTTTCGTGGATTCGGTTGAAGCGTGAACCAGCTCTTCTTTCCGTGTTTTTCTTTTTGCTGCTAAATTTAGCCTATACATGCATGCAAATTTAGTTTTCGATACATAAAATGCCAAGACAATGTGGGACTGCCTTGTCTCTAAAACAACAATAAAAACGATAATAATTATATATCTCATTATTTTATGGACAGGGAATAAAACAATCATAAGTAATGTTTTAGCCAAGCAGACACAACAGCCAAAAACTGTAAAAATATTAAATTTGCATACTGGGATACAGCGACTTCCGTTTTAGGGACCGATTGTTTATTACATCCCTTTTTCTGAAAGTGTGGTGAATCAAAACTTCCCAGCCGCTTCCAAATAATTACATATGAAATTTGCACCCCCTTGGTAATAACAAATTATTTTTAAAATGCACCCCCCCCCCCCCCCAACCCCCCTCTAGCCCAAATCTCTTCCTTTACTCTCAGCACTCTCGATTTTATAAACAAAGATCAACTAGAATACACGTATATGGGTACCGTACACAACAGCCAAAGATTAACAGAATAGTTAATTCACAATCGTCTGCTGCCAGGGCTCCGTTTAGCAGACTGTTTTTTTTTTAAACTCTCTTTTTTCAAAAGCTGTCTATACAAAAATACCCAGCCGCTCCAAAAAAATTCCAGAAAGAACGTCACCCCCCAGGGTAAAAATAAATTATTATTAAAAACCACCCCCCCCCCCCCTCCAACCCCTTCTAGACCAAATCTCTTCTTCTATTCTTAGACATTGAGTTGTTAAGAAACAAGATACCAGTAGTCAGCAGTGTAGCTGGAGAATTTGAAGGTCATGTCAAACCTGGGGGGGTCTGGGGGCATGCTCCCCCAGAAAATTTTTAAATTTAGGGTCTCAAAATGCCATCTCCTGCATTTTCTACAGAACATTTTCAGAAAATACAGACAAAGGAAAATGCAGTGATTAGTTGTTTATTTTACCCCATCTCTACGGTTATTGGTTAAGGTACAGTGTTTACGACAAAAAAACGTAAAACAGGGACGCCACCAAGGAGATAACAAGCAAAGGGAGAGATGTGTACCCTTCAGACAGGTAAACTCTGTTATAATGCCATCAATATCAATTACATCCTTGTGCTTGTGTACATGTATGTGCAGAATTGCAAGAGAGCTCAATCTCTCGTCTGTCATGGTCCTTCGTAAGAAAGTTTGTAGTCTCTTCATACCGCTGAAGCTATGCATTCTCAGCCGTGCAAGTTGACACACGGTAAGTCAACAAAGTTACATGGAGAGCTACATATACTCTGGGATAGAATTGGGGTTGGCTCAGTCAAAAGTCTCAACCAAGGTCTGAAGCTGGAAATCCTAACACGAAAACACCAATAAAATGCGAAATATTCATCCCGTTTTAATGATAACAATAATGCGCTTACAGCGGCATTCAGTCTCACTTGCTTCGAGATTCGATCGAGAAATGAGAAGGCGATTAATTCTACATGAAACAGGATTTACTTGCTAAAGGTTTTTTACTTCCTACTTTATCGACATGGATACTTTAACTTGTTTCTGAACTGATTTAGTACTTGTGTTAGCAACGACCACAAATACGTCTGCTGTTGAAGGCTATGTGAGTGTATAAATACACGAAAATTCAAGGGCCCCGATTGCAGAGAAATTAGTAAACATCATTGCCAGAGTTCAAAAAAGTGATTCCCATAGGACGTCATTTCAATCATCGCCAAAAATAAACCGCATTCTCATCACAAGATCCATTTGCATACAATGAAAGTTTACAACACCCGACCATGGCAGTTTTGCTAATTAAGATTCTTATTTTTTTTTTCAACAACTCAGTAGTGCTCACTTGTTCCAAAATAATCAAAACTTTGAAGCGATAGAATTCTTGGAGCAACACATTTTGGAAAAGCTCTAAATTTAATCTTTAATAAACATGAGTAGCTTCAATCACCCTGTGATTCTTAGTCCCAGTTTTCACAGTCTCCGCTAGGAATGTCTGGCACAATGACCCCCTATGTGTGTACAAAATACGACCAAAAACGTGTTGCAGATTATGAGTCTTGCTGCTTACCCAAGCGAGACTAAAAATGCTTTCAGGAATTAAAAAAGATTTATATATTTTTTCCATATTTCAGCTGTATTCATAGGCATACACGTATGTGCAGACATGCATGCTACATTCCTGGTAGTAGAAATAGCTAATAGGTTCCTGGGCCAAGCTTTACACGGTTAACATTTTGTTGCTGACAAAGACCTGCCAACACAAATTTTTTTGTCTTCTTTTGATTTTCTTCAATCATAATACAGTTTGACAACTTTTACATAGAAGGCCAGTCCTGTGTCTTAACCCATTCGCCCCTGAACCGCCTATAACCGCCCGTGCAGATCCACGTCCTTTTTACCCTTTGTGACATCATCAGGTTTTAACAGTCAAGGACAACTTTGTTTGCTAACTTGTGCAGAGTGAAGAGATCTTTCAAACCATACCAGAATGAGCACAATTCAGTCATGGACACCAGAGAAAGAAGTAAAAAACCATGTGACATTGACCTGAAAATCTCCACGAAAATCTTGTTCCATTGCTCACCTACCTTTCCTTTCACCTAATCCTAAGATCCTAAAAGCTTTCCTAAAAACTCTTCCCACCAAAATAAATGAAGCCTACTAAATGCCCAGCAAGAGAAAAAAAAATGAGGTAAGAAAAGCGAAAAAAGAGGAGAGGAGAGAAAGCAAAAAGTAAAAGTCAAGACTGCTGTGTCACTTTTAAACCCAAAAACATTGTGCATTTGTGCATTTTCAAAATTGACGCCCTAAAATCAAGCCTCTTGGAAAATTGTACCCCCCCCCCCCCCCCCCCCCCCCCCCCCCCCCCCCCCC